GCAGTGGACATGGTGGACAATAGTGATGGACAAACACTCATTATTTCTGTGGACACTAGTGATGGATGGTTAGACACAGTCACACGTTGTTTCTATAACAAAGGCAGCAGTGGATATGGGGGACAATGGTGATGGACAGTTAGACCAAGTCACACATTGTGTGTGTAACAATGGTAGCAGTGGACATGGTGGACACTGGTGACTGATGGTGAGACACAGTGATGCATTGGTTCTGTAACTGTGCAAGCAGTGGACATAGTAGACAATAGGGATTGTCACACATTGTTTCTATAACAGTGCTAGCAGTGGACATGGTGGACAATAGTGATTGTCACACATTGTTTCTATAACAGTGCTAGCAGTGGACATGGTGGACAATAGTGATTGTCACACATTGTTTCTATAACACTGCTAGCAGTAGACATGGTGGACAATAGTGATTGTCACACATTGTTTCTATAACAGTGCTAGCAGTGGACATGGTGGGCAATAGTGATTGTCACACATTGTTTCTATAACACTGCTAGCAGTAGACATGGTGGACAATAGTGATTGTCACACATTGTTTCTATGACAGTGCCAGCAGTGGACATGGTGAACAATAGTCATGATAGTGATGGACAAACACTTACTTGTAACAGGAGACAACAGAGATGAGGCCAATGCTTTTTCAGAGGACATGTCTCATAATGTTTATGTATTTCAAGCATCTTGAATAACATTTTCAGATAAAAACATTAAAAGCAAAAAAAGCCATGGAAGTGTTATGATAATGGGCATCTCACACAGTTGTGGTATGTCGCCATGTTAACTCTAAACTCATCAAGACATGGATGGAATATGTCTGTGATCATAGCAACACTGTTGTATCTCTACTATTTATGCTAGGCAAAGAGCATCCAGAGATGTATCAAATAAATAATTTCATTGAACTAAATAATAGATGCTGTACACCATTTGAAAGCTTACTTTCACAATATTTACTTCAAATATTGACTCATTGTTGTATTTACATTCCAGCTGTTGAAGGGTTAAATTGTCCCATTGACAAGTGACACACTGAGTGACTGGTGAAGTTATGAGATGAGTTGAGCACATTTTGAATGGGCTGATGCAGCTTGAGCTGAATATGTTTAATGGGGAATGAAATCATGGCTAGGAAATACGTGTACAAGGACCACCCAAACCTCTTACACGGCCTGTGTGACTCTGACCCTGACTAAAACACCTTCCTTCTCTGTCTGGAGAGAGGGAGTGGGTAGCCAGCCTTACCTTGTCACAATGGGTTTGATTTCCGCCATGGATAGCATAAAACATGGCAGATTCACATTAAAAATCACCTTTGAAATTGTTAATATAACAATTCTTTATATGCAAAATACTGTCGCTCCTTCACAGGGTTCAATTTTGTTGGTAGTACCACCCCACTACCAATCCTCTCACCCCTACTCGCTACGCTAGAATAACCCGATGACCCAAGACCTCAATGAAAGTTGGTGCTGGTGCAGCTCAGTTCTTTAGCTAGATTCATCTTGTTATGACCGGTTTTTCAGTGAAAGTGCCTTGTATTAGCCCTCCTCCCTCAGCTAAAATCGGCTTATTACACAGGCTGGTAGGTGTGTAGCCCCACTCGCTCACCTCAGTGTTGGCACCTGATGTAGGTGGCACTGAGATGGGATACCGACACAAACCAGATGGTCACTGGACCAGAGGAGGCCATGTTGAGCAGCCTGGGCGTTTTATGTTCTTGATACAAGAGAAAGTGTTAATCTAATTACTGCCCTGTAGTGAGGATGTTTTCTCCATACAACAGACTATCAGGAGAAAATTGTCTTTCTTCCGCTGCTCTCATCTCCTTGGCAGAGACTGTTATTGAAGCTATTATTTTTGGCTTGTACAAGTGCTCATAGGGGTAACGTCAAATCAAACATTATGTTCAACATGTCTTTATTTTCAAATTACATGGATTTAGTCTTTGAAAGGCATTGAAGTGATACACATAAGGAAGAGAATTTATGGATGTCAATTTCTTTATTATGAAGAAAACAACGTTTTGGAGTATATGCTTACTTCCTTCATCAGATGAATGAATTATGGTTTGTGAAAAAACCCAGTTAAATGCTGCCTTATATTTCTGATTCAAAACATAAAATAAGAAATTTTGTTACCTGGAAACAGCAACGTCACACTAAGATAAAGAAGAATAATGATTTTTTTTAATTCAAATTTGTTTTAACATCCAACTTTGTGAACAATTTCAAACCCATTAATGAAAGATAAAACAAATCTGTATTTAACACCAGCAAAAGAAAGAAATTTGTCCTCACCAATAAAGCATGAAACTACTTTTACATGAGCAATACTGGGCAAGCAATGACCCCTAAAAGCCACCAAGTGACCCTTTGATGCCATGTGTGTTTCCGATTCATGTTTAATTAGCTGGACCATCCCTTTGTGAGTGGCCACAGCAGTGTGATAACTACAACACAAACACAGCCAGCATTGCTTCCTTACTGGGTGACGCCCACAAATATACATAAGTGGAGATAGTTGCTACTTTACTTTGATGACACTGGCATTTTCAAGTGTGATAATGAGGATAAATACCCAGACAATTTCAACAAACACCTTGCAAAGGTCAATAATATCTGGAGAGATCATACTTAGAGCCTTCAAAATTCATGCTAGTCAGCTAGCCCGACACTACTAAATTTTACTGAAGACAAGCAAAAATCCAGTGATGGTAGTCCTCATTGACTAGAAGCATTTGAGGGCAATATGTCTTTATCAATTCTCAATGCTTTGATTTTAAAGGCAGTGAATTTCTAAGACTGTACATAACATACCTCAGAATGTTTTTACAAATGGGTAACATCATGTTTGGGATTTCTTTTTGGGAAAAATGTATCTTTAAACAGACCCAGACTGATTCTTAATGAAGGAGAACCTGAAATATTTTCAAATAATGTAACAAATACCTCAATAAATTGGACGAGGATGAGTGCTATAATGATTGTACTTTATAGTTGACACATGAAATGTATGACAAGATGTGATGATTCACATCTTGAAACTGGAAACCTTGTGCGGTCATTTAAGAAAGAAAATAAGGGAAACCATTATTGGTAAAAGTTCATTTTGTCCATTAGAGATCTGTTTCCTTGAAGTCTTATCTCAATTTGTTTAAGTTCACTAATAAGGCTAGTCTGTGTTCATGTTTATTTGCAAATATCATCTTACTAGTAACTATAGGTCCATAGGCGATGGGGTAGCCTAGTGGTTTGCTCATCATGTCAAAGACCTGGGGTAGATGTCCATTTCTGTCACCTGTCATCACATGGCTGGGATATTGCTAAAAGTGGTGTAAAACACATCTCACTCACTCACTACTGTAGATCCATCTGCTTTTATTAAATCTGCTTATCTGTGTGTCCATCACTAGTTAGACGACGTAGGTTTGTTACGTTACACTGTGATGCTGCTGATGCACCACTTGTTTTATGGAAACAATCATGGCCTGGATTTTTATGAATGCTGAAATTATTTTAGAAATTGGGTCATGGAATTTGAAATATGTTTTTGAATAAAATAAATTCAGTGTTTTATGTGATTCACATTCCAAATTAACTGTATATGGTTACATTTCATATGAATAAAGTGAAGCGTGAGTATTTCTGTGGCAGCCATGGTTTGCTTGGTCTGTGAAATGCTGCACAGCGTGAAAAATGTCTTGTTAGGAGTCATGTGGAAAATGGTTTCTAAGTATTCTTGAGTATGTGGCAATGCATGGACAATAAAACCCAATGACATACTTCCTTCATTGCCGTTAAATCATTTCAGTCGGACTGGTGAAATTCCTACTGAAGAAAGTACCTCTTAATCATTCCGCAAGACAACATGCATTTCAAAGAGAAAAAAACACTAAAGACACCAAAACTAAATTCTCATCCGACCCAACATTAGAGAACACTAAAACTTAATTTGACATAAGCATTTTGTGTGGATTCCATTGATTCTGGAGGAATTCTTCACTGGTTTCTTGTGTCATTTTAAGGAGAAAAACAGAAGTAAAAGATCTTTTTAGGAAACATTTGAGCATGATTTGGACATTTTGAAAGGTTAGTTTGAAATGTATCTGTCATCGCTTAAGAAAGGTAATACCACACAATGTTAAAAATTATGATGCTGTAATTAAATTCTTCTTTGAGGTTCGTGGATGCAAATCTCTCAAAAGTGAAATATTTTACTTGGATTTTTTAGATGAATTTCAGAACTCATGAGCTACCAAAATGTTAAAAACAGATCTGACCGAATTTTGTCGTCACAGGCATGAGATCCTAACATGACATTTTAAAAAAATAATAAAATGTCAAAATAGAACTGATAGCTTTCCCATACTTTGAAGGGAGTCTGCCATATGGAGTCATTGGAAAACATTTATGGAAGCGGAAAAGTTTGGTAACATTACTTCCACTGTGGCCTCAAGATGGTATAGATGATTATTTCTTGAATGTTGCTGACTTAACCAAATATGAAATTACAATTTTTGATTTCAGTTTATTTTTAATTTAGTATTGTTTCAGAATACATGGTCGTCAGTGATATGAGAAAAACTAAATTATTGTAAATTTGATTGTGATGCATGTACCTTTTATGATTTTTATTCATGAATTTTAAAAGTATGTCATGGAATAGACCAGGAACTTTCTCATTAAAGAAAAGATTAAATTGTTTGTTTCGATATTTTTGATCATCAGAACATACAACTTCAGTTTCCTGTAAATGATTTTATCAACTCACTAGTAGTTTGCCCCAAGTTTGATTTAGTGAGTGAGTTTATCTTTTGTGGCGCTTTTGACGTAGATTTCAGTATGTGCATGTCAAATTTCTTTAATATGTCATATGAAAGCAACACCATGCTTACATTTTTTTCAGCTTGTCCTATGTGTTTATATGATAATCATGAAATGTTTTATTGACCAAACTGGGCTGTTTTTTAGTTGACGGTCAGTGGAGTGCGTGGGCATCCTGGTCAGAATGTACACACGATTGCTTGCGCCACAGACGAAGAAAATGTGATAACCCAACCCCAGGCAATGGTGGTGCATATTGCAAAGAAAACGGTTTAGAGAGTGAAATATGTACAGGAGACGAATGTCGAGGAGGTAGCTGATTGGTTAATTACCTCACTTAGTGTGTTGTGTAGGGATGCTTAGAAACAGTAACAGTGGTCCCCCAGAATGCACTATCTACCGTTGCGCAATTAAAACCTTTTGCATGATGTTCTGTTCAATATTGAGAGTTACATTGATACAGTTCTTCTGCATGATATTTCTCTCATTCAAATAATGAATTGCACTGATCATGTTGAACATTTTCTTCTTCTGAAGTTCTCTAGCATGATGTAGTTGACGCTCTGCACCATTTGTCAATACTTCTTGTACAGCATTCATCTTTCTGCAGCTTTAGCAACGTCTCTAGACTTCTCTTGACTGGGCTAGTGACATGCCATATATATTTAGATGTACTTCTTGTTCATTGAACTCTGGATGCATTTGTTTATGAAATTGTTTGCCTGTTCTCTATGATAATGTATTTGCAATTGTGGATTAAGTGAATATAATTATTTGTTTAGGATGATTATTATATTTGAGAACTTTTAATGTCAGTTCCAATTTGTTATTAAAGGAATTAGTTAATGTCAGATAACACTTTCATGCAATTTTTATGACAGGAAGTTCCTATTTTTATCTACAATGTTATAATAACTGACTATTCAATTAAACATTTTGATTTCTGTATTACCTTTGTGGCAAATAAGGATGTCTGAAGACAGTGTACTGATCTTTGTATAAGTGTGTAACCTTTTCTGAGATAAGTTTCTTTGTTGAAGCTGTGCTAGTTTGGGTGTTCATTTGTTCTTTAGCACCAGACACACTTTTCTTCAAATATGCATTAGCTATGGAGACGTATGGAGCAAGGACTAGTCATTTTAACATTTTCATTGAGAAGTCTTCTTAATTGTGATGATTTTACCTGACATGGACAAAAACCTACTCTGTTAGAAAACATCATTATTTCCATATGTCAGTGTGCAACTTTTTAAGCAAATAGATGAAAAGCATAATAATTTCTGTGTATTTCAGCCAAGTCAATGTGTCGTGTAGATGGATGTTCCATTCATAACGTGATATATAAGTGCTAGAAAGTCATGCACAGAGGTTGTCATGTAGTGATGTAAAATTAAAAAAAAGGTAGTCTCACATCCCATTCACATTTGCCCTGAAGCAATAGATGACAAATTGTAAAATAGGCAATTGATTGTCTTATGTTTGTTGTCAAGCTAAGTATCATTCATTGCTATGTTAATGATTAATTGTGGATTGAGGGTACTCATATATGACAGATGATACAATATTTTTATAGCAGACATAACATGGCTCAAGAAAATTATTTTAATTTTATGGGGTTATAAATTTTGGTACAAGACTTCCTTATTTTATTATTTTTTCTTTGAATAGTCAAATCTTCTTTTGAACAATTTGTCCAAGATAAATATTGGAAGTTTGAATCATATGAGTTTCTATATGAGTGTCTTGGAAGTTTGAATAAAATGAGTTTCATCATTAATAACATTCTATTTAAGTGAGTAACATTCCATAATGAGTATAATTTAGCATTATGACTGTCGTGACTCATGTATTTTAACTTGCTTACGATAGTCATAGCACTTCGATCACTATATTGAACACGGCCATAGCATACAAATTTAGTCCCCTATTTGTTCAGGACCTCAGTGGCAAGAAGGTTTGGTGGTAATTGAAATAGTTTTGTCAGTTTAACAGATTTTACATGTTAAGTTTCCATTCCTAGAGGAGTCAGCAGCTCATGTTTCTCCTGGCATAGCTCTGCTGCTCTGTAAGTGAGCTGCTTCACATAGTGTAATTGGTTGTGGAAAGAAGGTCTTAGACATCCTATGTGTGGAGACCTCAGAGGTGTCATTTATCTCACAGAAGACACTGTCGCGACCATAAAATTCTCTCCCTTTTGTGGCGACACTTGAAACAATGTGGGTAAAATCACATTCATCTTTGTTATTTTTTTTCAAGTAGAAAAGCTTAGGTTTCTGTGCAAGAGGTTTAGCCCATTGTTAATGTGGCAAGTATACATGTCTAGACTCTCATCGTAAGTGTTGAATGGCAGGGAGCAGGAAATCTTATATCTTTATATTCATTGGAGCAAATGTTTTTATTACATTCTAAGCTGAATTGTTCCTCTCAGTTTACATATACAGTAATGCAATATAAATGTTACTAACAAGTTATCTGGACTGACTTTAATGGAGATGCATGTCTTTTCACACTATGCAAATCATGTTCACTGCCACACTTAACTTGTGAATGTTAAGAATGTCCAGACTCTTTCATATTCAGGAATGAATCCACCAGCTAAACTGTATTGGGCAAAGAAAGATTTCATAATGTGATATGTAAATAAATAAAAGTGTCAAAATCCTTTTCATATTTATTAGAAATCTCTGCTGTAACATAACAATTAATGATATATATTGTACTATTTCAAAAGAAATATTTGAGGGGGGGAAACGGATGTTATAAATTTTCTCATTTGTCTTTTGAAAATATATTAGTACATTCATCTTGGTTAACACATTTGAATACAAAATTGAAAAAATATTACGCACAAGATATATAACAAAATATGACGCAGGTAATGTTCAATTTATGTGAAGTCTTATCTGAAATTCTTGTCTCCAACAGAGCAGTGTATTTTATTACCCCAATGTCATTAGATTTGATCTTGAATCTTGACTCTTCTGCATCTATCTACACTCAAGTGGCAATGCTATCTTTCTTGAAATGGCTGTCAGTGCACACACTGTGTAGAATAATCTGCAGTTGTAAGGTGTGGGATGAATTTGTGTCATGCTTACATCCAACATGACAACAGCCAGCAAATTATCAGTCTATAAACACTTTGTTCCCTTGAGGCTCCATCTGTAGTGTTTTTACAAATTAGTCTTTTTTATCAGCATTTAAGTGAATTCTAACTTCATGGGAAAAAAATAACTTAGCATGCTGGGTTGTGGTGCTTGGGTTTCCTGATACATTCAGAGATTTGGGCAAGTTTGTGTTATATGCTGAACAAAAATAGTTGGGGATCATGAAATATTTTTGTGAAATATGAAATTGTATGCACAGTCTTCACTACAAAAATATTCCTATCATGTTCATTCCCCGCTTTTGTCCAGTATATTATCACTGATGGGGTTTAGACATTAAAGGTTAGTTTTGGGGTCTTATCAAAGAGTTAGGAATAATGTTCTTATTGCAGGAAGATGTGCACTAGGTTTACACACGGTAATGCTGGGTGAGGCTCACCCTGGTGTCGACGCCCCCGTTATGCTCTGTTATCTGTGGCTTGGCAAGACACATGATAAAGTGGTATTCCACTGCAGGATGTACTAAGTCACCTGTCTACTTGATTGTGCTGATCTCACTCAATCCTTGCACAATCCTTACACGCAGAATTTTACAATTAGTTGAACCAACAGGATCGAGGGGCACCATGGGGTGACTGTTTGAAAGCCTGCTGTTTCAGATTGTTTGACAAGTGTTTTAACAAACCATGAAATTACTGTGTGGGGTCTAGTAAGTTACATTTGGGGTATTAAAGTTCTTTTTGAATCTGGAAAGTTATTTTGATGGCTTTATGTTGGTACTGAAACATTTTGATCCAAATTGTTCAGAATGTGAGATGTGAGCCATTTTATGTTTGGTTATATTTTTTTAAATAAACTGTTCAAGGGATCTGTGAACATCAACTGTCAATGGAGTTTCTTCATAGGACCTAGAGGATAATAAAATAATGTAGAATGTTTGATAGTGAGCCAGACGGGGATGAAATTCTATTAATTATTATGGCCTAAAACAATTCTCACTCACAGTTAATGAAAATATTTTCTTGGATTGCACTTATTGCCAATAGTATTTAGAGAAGGATTTGCTCTAAAATTATTTTTTGTATCTTATTAATGATATATAGTTCTTGGAGATGACATCCAAGTATCTTGCAATTTAGTGGGTTTGTTTTCTCTCAGTGAAATTAGAAGTCTAACATCTGTTTGCCATGTTGCTACAATCTTTATGAGTCAAGAATCTTCAATCCAAAGTAGACACTAAATGACGTCTTTGACTGACAATTATCATAGAACATAAGTTGCTTTCTCTCAAAAGGAGTTATTTATCTCCCATTAAAAGGCACTTATTTCATTATTTACCTTTCCAAAGTACATTTTAGCTGCTTGGGACTCCAGTCTTATCTTGCAACAACTGTTGTAAAGATGTGGCACGAATTGCTGATTGTTTTCTCTGAATGGGGATCTGTCTACTCATAAGACAGATCTATAAGATGTTTATTTATTTGTCTATATCCTTCATCTAATTCTGTCATTCTGGTGAACACATCATAGTCAGGTTTCACACAAAAGCTGCTATTATTCCCACTCACACCTTCTGTTTCCAGCATCATGTGGGGATGCCCTGCTTTCAAGCTTGTCAATGAATCGTTTATATCAGAACAAAAAGACATTTTTTTCTGCCTCCTCAGTTCAAGTTTAAGTTTACTTTTCCTCTTACAGAGATCAGACACGGAAATAGAACAATAAGCGTATTGTTTTCAGCTGGGTAGTTAAGATGCTGAGGATGACTGTGGTAGGAGAACCTGAATGATGGGAGGCTTGTCAGTGTGTTACGAAATGGGGAGCCAGAGAGGGGCACGAGGAGGGTGGTGAGTGAATGAGTGAAGCTTTTGCCTATAAATAGTAATCGAGTCTGGACCAGACAAACCAGAGACTTGTCAGCAGAGAGTATAGATCATTTAAAAAGGGCAACAAGGAAACAAGTTGCGACATAAACTATTTTTATTGTATCATATGATTTTAAATTATCATTAATTCAGTGAAGTATTGATCTGGTCGCTTATAGTTAGGATGTATTCGTATGCAGATTTCTTTACATCGTATATAAACAGGCAAGAGACTTGGCTGCGATCTATCAGTTTTTACTGTAGAATAGTGTACCTGCAACTTCTTTGACACCATGACCAACCCTCCTTTCAACTCTCCTAGAGGAGCACAGGTGGCTCA